GAGTGGTGAGTGAGAAGATTCACCAGAGACAGAGTGGGGAGCAGAACAGGCAGATAGACGAAATACACTGTTGAGGGGAGCAGTGGGAGGGTCAGGAGAGGTCTGCCAGCCGTATGGGTCAGCTTCCTGGCTGGGGAGGAGGGGGTGTTGGTTGAACTCGCACTTCGGAGAGCTTCATAATGCGGTGCTTTAACCTGTTGCACCACCAGGGAAAGCCCGTATATTTCTTTTTAATGTGGACATATTTTGAATAAAAATGTTTAACTTGTAATTTTATGTAATCTCTAAAATACAATTTTAACTTACAATGCAATAAATATTAGTAAAACAGGTCACATAAACAGAAGCTCTCTGGCTTCCCAATAATTCTTAAAATGTAGACGTATTTCAAGACCAAAAAGTTTAGTCCTAGAAAAACCACACCAGAACTAATTAAAATAATAGTAATAGACAATATGTAATCCTTCAGAAACTGGATCCTTCTTGTAAAGATCACTGCAAATCCAGGTGGTTTTACTCCAAACTTTTTTTTTTTAAAGATTTATTTATTTATTCGTATAGAGCTAGGGTACAGGCCAGAGATGCAGAGGGTGAGAGGATTCACCAGGAACAGAGTGGGGAGCAGAACAGGCAGATCGGCGAAGTACACTGCTGAGGGGAGCAGCGGGCGGGTCAGAAGAGGTCTGCCATGCCATGTGGTCACCTCTGGGGCAGGCGGGGATCAAACTCATGCAGAAGTGGCTTAAGCTTCTTAGTGCAGTGCTTTAACCCGCTGTGTCACCAGGGTGGGCCCACTAGCAAACTTTTACCTCAGTAACTTAAGGAAGGAAATAATGTACATGAAGCAAAGCATTATTGTTACAGATATAAGGTAACTCCCAAGAGTGAGCATCTGGATCTCTTTCTCATTTTCTGTTAACTTTCTATTCTACATTGGTTATAGAAATGGCTTAAACAAAAACACCTTATTTCATGGGTGATCTGAGGTTCTGCTTCTTGACAATACTCAAGTCCTGGGAAGCTGTACACACATGTGGAGTGATCAGTTTTATCCTGGTTAGGGGTTGAGTTCTGATATATCTGAGTCAAGCAGGATGATTCTGTTTCTCTTGTCGGTGACTAGGCTTAGAAAATCAGGAGACGAGGGTAAGTTAAAGCTCTTCTTATGTCAAATCTTCTATTAATGAGATGTAGTAAGAAATACACTGAAGCTTTGGGAAAATTTTCCCTATTAAGAGAGCCAATAGCAATTTTTTTCTTTCAAAAAGATACCTGCTTCTTGTCTCAAAAGGAAACCAGCATACATAGAAAGAGTTGCAAATACTAGAGATGCACAGAGCTGGAGTAACTTGAAAAAAATCAACCCTGGAAGCCTAGCCTACTTTTCATCTTGCACTCTGCCAATTTAATAAAATGTTTATGGACTTCCTATGGTTTGCAATACTACGATTTGGGAGGTCAGCTTCAAACCTGGAAATGTGTACACCCCATATACCACACCAATAACTGCAGGCCAGTGCCCTTCACCACTTTCACACTGACACCCTCTGCCTCTTCCTCCCTCCCCGCGCCCCTCTGCTGACCACCATTTTTTCTGTTGAATTCTTTCGTTGTGTTTTTGTCTACATTTCATATCTGAGTGAAACCATTAGTGTTTTCCTCTTTGATTTATTTTGCTTAGCAGTCACCTCACATTCCATCCACGTTGTCTCCAAAGGCAAGATTTCATTAACTTTAATCACTGGGCTGTTTTCCATTGAGAATATGGTGCACAACTGCTTTATCCAGTCCTCTGTTTTGTTCCGGCAATTTTGAATTGAGTTTTTTTTTCTCTTTCTTTCTGGCAACTGTAAACATTCTAAGTGAATGACTATTTTAAAATTCACTGAAGAAATATCATTTCATATTGCAATCGTACAAGTCACTTCCAAACATGTAAGCTAGGTAAGTCAGCATTGTGTCTTGCTACGTAAAAGCACAGACTTCAACATGCCACACTGGAGTTCTTCCCGGGAACAGCAGTGCTTACTGTTGATTGGGGTAACTGAGAGGTGGTGGGTGGGAATGAGCCACCTGCCAGTCTGTGATACAGAGTCTCTGCCTGGAACCTGCATGAGCTCAGTGCTTTCCCAGGTGCTTATAAAGGTGGATTAAGAGTTTGTGCTTTAACTGGACTATGGTGGTGGCACATGGGTGATTTGGTGATGGGAAGCCAACAGGGATTACAATTGAGATGGAAAAATGCACAAAATTATGTAAAAATAAACTATTATATTATTAAAAAGAATTTGTGCTTTAGGGTGGGACTCGAGGCTTGGAGTCGTCTTATGTGGGCCAGTTAGTATGTACTGGCAACAAAGTTCTTGGTGGCAAACGGGAACCTGAAGTCAAGGATGACATTTCCCATTTAGCAGTTTCCTGGACACTGAAATAATGATTTCTCAGGCTTCTAGACAAAACAGACTCATCTCTAGCCACAGACTATTAATGTGTACATTGAGAAATTATAAAGCAATCTAGGAATCATCTTGTACCAAATTATATTTCCCCAAGGTATGAATTTTAATTGTTTCCTTTTATGAAGCAGGAGTTACAGAATAAAGAATACTGTTTACAAGGTGTGTCTTACTTTACAAGGTACTTTCTACCCACACCAAAAAGAAAATGTGCCCGAGTGGTGAGAGTCACTGGTTACAGGTCAGCACAACATTTCCAGATCCTTTAGGATGAAACATTTTGGACTTTCATTAAAATGAAGGTTTTATGGGAAGTAAATATCACGTGTTCAGCCCTGAGCTGAACACTAATCAGCAGTTAGTGTATACCCCAAGTTAGTATTTGCTGGCATTATCTGATTTTCTTTCCTTTCTCTGGACTGTAATTCAGTGTAGTATAATAATGTGAACACAGGTAACATCCTACCTTCTCCATTTAATACTACAGCATTAATATGACACATTCAGAACAACTCAGAATCTTTTCTACCAAGTGTGAAGTTACTTTCTTTTACTATGAAACACATCCATTTTTGGTAAGAGCTAATCATGGGTGCAAGCTATAGCTCCTGTTTAAAATGATTATTTCAGAATGTAAGTACATGTTTTCAGAAAATGCCAGACAGTGTTTAATATGGTGTACTCTAATTTTTCAGTCTCACAAAAATGGACAGAAGGCAAAATGAAAAAAGAAATTTATTTCCTCAGTGTTTTAGCCACTGTAAATACTGTATTTTTGATGCAATATATTTGCAAAGAAAAAAAAACAATCTTAGCTTTTATTTTTCATTTAAACAACTACAATATTTACAAGCTGTTTAGAATAACAAACACTCAGACACACACACATTCATAGACACGCTCAAGGACATATATTCTTATCTCTGGTTTATACTGAATGCTGGTAGAGGCAATGAATACTTTCCAGAGCCCATGACCAGAAAAAGGAACCCATTTTCCTTTCTCATACCTTCCTTCCTACAACTATTTTTCATTTTCCTCTTTTCATTTCCTCATGCAGAGCTCATTGCCAGACTTGTAAAGGGTTAAGGTACTCTGTTTCTTACAACTTATTTCTACTTAAACTATATAAGCTTTAAAAAAGTATAAGCAGAAATGATTCCCCTCACCCACCCCCATTTCTGTGATTTTGGTTGTAGAATCAAGTTCCATATACTGAAAAAAAAACAAAACATCTGTTTAACCACAATTACACTCAACCCAAGAGTCATCTGGAGCAGCCACCTCTCACTCCTGTTACCGTTTGAGTTCCAGGGTGTCAACTAATCTGTGCAAGTTAACACCCAGGAACCACCCTTTCCATAATCTTAGATGACCTTGTTCCATCTAAGCTTGGCTCCATGGGATCATGAATTGTAAAGCATAGAGCTGAGGCGTAAAGAAAAGGTGACAATCCTATATAATAGGTATAAGTCTTGGAACAAAGTTGTCAAAGAACCTTGCAATGACAATCTGCTCCCATTCTCCCATATGATGTTATTTTGTTTCCATAATGGCAGATAATAAAGTTAAGCTCATAAACAGAACTTACTCTGATTTAGAAAGAATAGGTAGCTTCTAAGCAATAAAGAAAAATTCTTATTACACATAACTCTTATCACACATAACAGATGATTGGTGAGGCAATTCAAACCAGAAAATATACCTATTTCAAGCAAAATTAATATTCCACTCATATACTTGTCATATCTATATAGTAATTAATTTCTTTGCAATCACGGGTCTTGTCTAAACACTTAATAAATTAAAAATGAGAAGGCCTTGGTGTGTATCAGCTAGCATTTAAAAAGAAAGCGAAATTAAGAAAATAAGCTGGTTTTTAAATACTTATTAAAAAAAATACCTATACTGATCCAAAATAATACATAATATCATCTAACTTTTTTTTTCTCCAGGTCAGTAAGATTCAATTTCCGCATAAGACTGAAACAAAGCTAGACTGAAAAGGGATGTTTCATACCTCATCTGAACAATGTATCATGTCAAAAGAAAAAACTTGAATAGGTCTCTGTCCAGGCAATGCAATTTCATGATATGATTATTATTATACAACAAAAAAAAGAAAGAAAGAGAAAGAGTAAATACTGAGAACTTAAAAATCAGAAAGGACTTTTTCGATAATCATGAAAAAGTAATGAAAATAAACACAAAAACAATGAGTAATCTGGGCCACAGTTCATAGCTTAGTAGATAGTAAATATAAATTAGAAGAATTATCACATAAAATTACTAAGCTATCTTTTTTTTTTTCCTCAAGTGAGATATTTAGGAGAAAAGGTGCTTGAAAGTTAACCAAGAGATAAAGACAATACTGGCCTGTCTTTATCAATACTGATAAAGACAATAACTTTAAATGACCCAGTTCCTGGCAGATGACCCTGCAGCAAAGCAGCAATAAAGACCCTCTCAGCAGAAGCAGGAGGACGCTGATCAGAGGCAAAGTGGAATTTATTAAGAGTAAGTTACTTTTGTTTAGATTTGAGGTTTTTAAAAAATATTTTGATATAAGATGAAAGAATAAACAAGGAGAAAAATCCACCTTAAAGAGTTGTAGTTTCCTATTAAAAATCTATATTTTCATTGTCTGACATTTGGTACACAGAGTAACTTTCTAAATCTCATTCCGGATATATTTTCCAACTTCTGCCTCAAGGGTTAGTAGAAGTATCTCAAATACACTTGGCATATTTAAAAAAAATACTTCATCTAGTGGAAATTAATCTTTCAGTAATTAAAACTCAAAGGAAGCATAACACTGATAAGTCTGTTCACTAATTTCATGAATAGTAATTAACCTCCTCTAACCTTAGAAATACACATCCTCACCAACTACTTTCCAAGCCCCTTAAGTACAAACACCTTATATCAACCTAGACTTGGAAAAATTAAGCATTCTCTAGAAAAAGGAGAACATCTGTTTTATCAGGTCTTGAAAAAGGAGGATTATAACAAGTTATAAACTGAAGATTAACCATAAACTTAAATTTTGAGGTATAAAATGATTTTTGCCACTGGATGATAGGAAACAAGGAAAAAAGTTAACAATTTCTAAATTCATTCCAGGACTCTCTTAAAAGTAGAAACAAAAAATAAAATAATAAAAACTCCATAAAGACGGCAAGAATGAAACTGTTTAAAGGAAAGTAAAGATATTCTCTTACTTACATATATTTGTTTCATATTATGGAATTCTGAAATTTTTGGCAATTTTGAACTAAAGAAATGAACGTATGTATGCTGGAATCTTGTATACAATTTAAAAAGATAAGAAAGGAATTAAACAAATTGCTTACTCTTGGTGGGGGAGCACATGCATTTAAGCCGACTTATGATGAATCTTTTCTCAATTATCATTGCTTCTCCTGATACAACTATTAGAAAAGTATTAGAATTTTTTAAAAGACTATCGATTTTAGAATTAAAATATAAGAATAGATTCTTCTTGGGATTTCTAATTTATAAATTCATAAATAAGTTACAGGGTGATCTGATAACATAATCTAATGTGTTTTATGAAAAATGTCCACTGGTAGCTACCACAAATGAAGAGCAAATATCTATGTTCTATATAAAATCTAGTCTTTCTTTTGCAACTTGACTTTTTAAGAGTTTGTGATGTGTTTAACAATTGATGGTGGGGACTTGTGGGGCTAGGAATTAAAATAAATGTAGCCCTCTGGTTGAATCATTTGAAGCTCAGATCTTTTTTTAAATAGGAAAATGAAGTATCTTCTAACATAGAAAGGCCCAATTTGTCTCACCAGAGCAATGATCATTATTTTAGAAAGGTAACAATAACAGGGAGCTTAATACCTTTGCTAAGATTTTAAAAATATCTCTCTACAGAGATAGATAAATACATAGATAGGTAAGTAGGTAGGTAGGTAAGTAGATAGATAGATAGATATTTTTAGTTTCAGGGAAAGAAAAGAGGCTGAACTTTTAATAACATACTGGGGATTTGCTAAAAGGAGGCAAATCCAGAATACAATGGTATTACCAAGAAAACACATCTTAATTAATTTAGAAAGGATACCTTTGTGTACAGCTTCAGTTGATCATTTGATAAATGTATTTGAACAGTAAATTTTGCTAGGTACGTCAATGGAAATATTAACACGAGGCACTTTGGGTCATAAATGACCACAAAAATTTTAAATTAGAAATGCAATAATATGCTGTGTATTAGCTATGCATTTCCTTAGTTTTCATCCCTTCTACTGAAGAGTTATACTGTGAGATCTACATCAGAACTGGTAGGAAAAATAGCTCTTTTTTCCCCCGTCACCCTCATCAAAAGATACTTTAAGCTCAGCTGAACCCAAGTCGTCACTGGGCAAATACATGAAATGTGGCTGTGTTAAAAGTTGAAACAGTGATACTCTGAATATACTGGATTAAATAAAATGTATAATTAAAATTAATTTCACCTGTTTTTTCACTTTCCTTTCACAGGAGTAGAAAGGTGGCTGCTTCTAAGTGCTCAGAGGAGATGTACACTCTTCTGTGGAATTTCATCCAAAAAATGAAAAGTTTTCTGAAGGAATTAAAAAATGCCAAAAGTTGCAAATTAAATCTAAAGACTGCAGCTCCTACCTAGCCCAATTGTAAATCTGAATTGTTTATTTCCCTGAATACACGCATTAAAAAAAAAACAGTAAATTTTAAGTTATGAGATAATATATGAATGAAGTCAATTTCACAGTTATAAGTATTTCAAATTACAGCTACATACAATTTACAGAAAATAAAATTCAAGTAATAGAAAAAGAAAAGGGAAATAAAAGGCAAAGTTATTAAAAAGGGATATAACAATAAGAACTGCACCATTTGGATAATTTTGTCTGAAAATCTTTTACTTAATTAACTGAACTGCATGTAAATGACTTTAAATGACCTAAGCACTTCTAAAAACAAAAAAAAGCAATCAATCCTTTCTGTAACTTCCTGGATGTTCATCCTCTTCTCTGAAAAGACAAAGTATTTTCTTCCCACAACTGACCACAGGAGAGCTGGCTCCACGGGGAGAAGCAGGGTCCCGGGGTGAGGGCTGAAGCCATCTGCAACGCTGTGGCAGTAGAGGCCAGGCGGCCAGTGGGGCTTGCTCAGGAGACGCCAGCGATGAAGCCAGGTGCGCCGAGACTCAGGACTCATTTTAAAGAAAACACCCAGTGTACTGGCATGAAGTACAGACTACACACAGGAAAACAAGCAGCACAGTTCCTGCTATATATGTTCATAAGGAAAGGGAAGGGGTTAATCCCAAAGGCAATTTAAATAATGTATTTATTTTTATATATAAATAAATGTTCTGAGAAATCTCAGACTTTAGTGCATTGTTGTAAAAAATTAGTGCAGTTATTTCATTAAAGTTTTTAGCGCTCAAGGAATAAGATAAATCTATGTCTGTTCATAGTTTCTTTCACTGTACATTAAACTTTCATTCTGCTATATGTCAAATTGAAAGTTTCTAACTGGTCTGTTTTTAAAAATCAAGGTAAATGGATTTCATGTTCTATGACAAAACATGGCAATTATTTTTGGCAAAGAAATTAGAAAAATATGAGATCATAGTTTAGAAATGAAGAGTTGGTTGACTTAAAGCATAGGCAATACATAGGGGAAAACTTTTTAAGGACGGAATTTTAACAGAACTTATTTTTTATCCTTCATGCAAAATGTTTTCTCGGCAGCTAACTTAAAAAAATATTTCAGCTTTATTTTAGGATGGAGACAGTGGCAGGGGTCAGGGTGAAGGGCACAGGAGAGGTGCTTGGCCAAGCCCACTCTATGTTCAAGTCTCTCCCATCTAGGATCAAAGCGATACCTGCAGGCATCTCTGTTCTCGCCTCTCTCTTTCCAGTGTTTTAGAATTGAGAGGGAAAAGAAATGCAGTTGTAAAACACCAGCTCATACTTCAGCCCCAAGTTCTAGTACCCCGGTTTCAATGACAGTCACATATTTATCATCAATCTGGACGAGAAGCACTGTCTTGTCGATGTGGGATCTAGTACCTGGCTCTCGGCTGCAAGGCACCCATCGGTGAATCACCTAACATCCAGGATAAAACGAGATGTCAGTGGCAGAGATCTTAGATAGACTCACAAACGCTTATGCTTCTCTTAAGATGAGAAGTATCAACTGTCTGATGATTAAATTTAAGTACACAGTTAAATACACAAACAGGCGTACAAGTCAGTCAAACTTCACACATCAAAACACCAACTAGCTTGGTAAGAGAACTCACATGGCCTTCCATGCCCTCCTGAGGACTCCAGTCTTTCCAGCTGTTTCTTCCAGCTTTTAACCGAATTCCTTCGTCAGGCCACTGCAGCTCCTTCCTTTTTGATAGGTTGATGCCATCCAAAATTTGACTGGGATCTACAATCTATATAAAATAAATATGAATCAATTTCTACTCATTTTTTCTTGATGGCAAAAATTACATAATCCCAAACAAAATGTCTTTCACAGGACTCATGTCTCAAGTTCTGTATTGACTACAGTGGAATTAAAAAAGGGGAAGAGCCATCACCTGAATTATCAGCCTACTGGCAGCTTCTGCATTGGCCATGGCAATAGCTAACTAAGTAGGGCAGAACCGCACCACTGTAAACGACTTGTTTTCACTAAGATTTTATGCTGGCAGCTGTCTCCCCTCCCCACATTCAACAATGCTCTAGTTTTCAGACTTATATAAGGTATATATTTGTAAGAATCCTTCACTCAAACAAGAAATAAAAGCAAATGAATGAAATTAATAGCACAGGCTGATCGTAAGTTTACTCACCTGAACTCTGTAAATCACTTCCCCCTTTTTGGCATGTGAATTACTGGCAGGACTTAAGGTACCGCCTGGTGGTACATCAGTGGCACTGCTCTGGCCTCCCTCTGTTCCAAGAAAGCCCGCAAGAGCGTGATGCTTGCAGGCTGGGATGCTTTGGCTGGAGCTGCTGGAAGAAGGAAGGCCATGCTGTACGCAGGCCATACCACTCTGACTGGAAGGTTCCAATTGGTTCACCATAGAAAGGCGGGACTGGATGGAGGACGGTAAGTTTCGAAGTGATATCTGACTGGTGGAGGAACGCCGACAAGGCACAAATCCTGTGGTGGACATCCGGAGAGAGGAATGCCGGCTGCTGTAGCAGTAAGAAGACTGGCTGGCCACTGAGGCCCGAGCAGGGGACTGTCTCACCAGGCCTGACTGCACAGAGTGAGAGCTGTGGCTCATGCCTAGAGGAGAAAAACAAAACAGTACTCAGTCTAAGATGGGTGGCTCAAGGATAGCTTTTTTTTTTTTTTTGTAGTTTTTAAGGCTTTCTCCTTTAAATAAGAATTGAGAGCACTTTAAACATTTATACCTAAACTTTTAATGTTGCCAGAAAAAAACACCTGAGATTTGTTTTCTTGCATGCTTTTGATCATTTTTATTTGCTGAGCTTTTTGAAATTCAAATTCTAGGGCATAAAAAGATGCATAATTAAATTTATAGCAGCTATTAGGATTTATGGTTGGGAAAATACTAACATATCTTTCACAGAACTATTTTAGAATAACAAAAGTATCTCTTTAATACATTAGAAATGAAATCTCTCATAGAAATCAGACAGAAATATTAAGGATTTATGATGTGGCAAGTTCGATAACCACTATTTTTCAAAGTATAGTATTAATCCCCTTTCATTCTATTTCAGTAAGAGTCAATGATACCAAGCTGCAACTTTCATAAGCATTAAGAGATTGCTACTATATATGAAAATATTTGATAAATTATCAAGGAGACTGAATAGCAGGTTCTCCGGTATCCTTTTTCAAATGGCTTGATATTTGAATCCTTCAGATTTATCTTTTTCCTGACTTATAAGAGTGACTAATATGAAAACTATCAGAAAATAATCATAAAATCGAAAAAAAAAATTCATGTACTTTATATCTGAAAACAAAAAGAGCTAATTGATTGTAAAAGCAAAAGGTACATAAGGAAGCACTTTGAAAATCTTAAGTTTTCATTTAGTAAAAAAAAATCAAATGTTGATACATACATACACACACACACAATCTGGAATTTACAATTCCAACTGTATTGGAATTTATTTTTTATTTAAGAAAATACCTTAAGACTTTAACTGACCTATATGAAGAAGTGTGGAAGGGACAATGCTGGAGGAACTGACCACACAAGAGGGCAACAGAAATCTGTTTCCTATTGCAAGCTGCATGTATTACAGCTCTCACATAAAAGGTAAATAGTAAAAAAATAATTTTCTGGGATAGGGATATTTTTCTTTATTTTCTTTGAATGTTACAAGCTTTGTTTGTGAATTTTATAATCACTTATTTTCTTAGGTTAGAATTGGAAGCCCTAAATCAAAACATGAAAATGTTTAAGACTCGTGGCATATAATGCCAGAATCTTTCCAGAAAAGCTTTTTTCACCAGTCACAAAGAAATTCCCCTCTTACAAACTTTGACAGTCTTTGAGTACTATGAATACAAAAGTGTTCATCAATAAAGGAAACGATCAATAAACTGTTTTACAGTAAAGCTCTGTACTTCTCATCAAAAGAAGCCAAATCTTTCTCCACAGGAAGGCAATGTTTAAGCAACTGCTTGGTGAATTTACAGAATTTAACATGTTTAAGAGCTAAAAGCAAAAATGGGAAATTTCCGTAGTATGGAAAACATAAAAGCTCCAAAGCCAGAAATACAAATATAAGTAAGAAAAAGACAACCAAATTGAAAAACAGTCAAGAGATTTAATAGGCACTTCAGAAACAGGAACAGCTGATAAACTCAAGAAACAGCTTCCAATCTCATGTGTCAGCACAATGCAAATTAAAATGGAAGAATTAATGACCACCTCTCCTGTTCCTCCAAGCAAGCAAGGGGCAGGCAACAGAGGTGGGAACGCATAGTACTCAAAAACTGTCAAAGTTAGTAAGAGGGGACTTTCTTTGTGACTGGTGGAAAAAGCTTTCTGGAAAGAGTCTGACATTCTATGCCATGAGTCTTAAAACATTTGCATGTTTTTATTTTGGGCTTCCAATTCTAGCCTAAGTAAATAAGTGATTATAAAATTCACATACAAAGCTTGTAACATTTGAAGGAACTAAATTAACTACCGAGTACAAGAAGTTACATTAAATATCATGTCGCCTTTATTTTTTAAATATTTTTTATTTTCTTACATCGTTGTTCATTTTTGTATATCTGATCTCTCCCCTCACGTGTAGTCGCCATAACTCTACCATCCCTGTGTGAGCATCACCAGAGTCCCTTGTGCTTTTCCCTTCCCAGTTTTGATCTCTCTTCCCCACCTCCACCCTTTCCATTGTATGCCTTAGATGTTTGTTTTGCTAAAAGGTTTGCCTTTTTCCAGATTCTTTGTTCCATTTCCCCATATTCTCTTATCAGTGATCCCACTGCATATTTTTCTTTTTCCTTCTGACTTATTTTGCTTAGCAGAATCCTTTCTCGCTCCCACATAACTAGCCTTTAAAATATTTTCAATGTATGTATTGTTTGAATTATTAACAATTAATAGAAACAAACAGGATAATGTTCGGGGGGAATCAAATAAAATATTCTATTTATAATTTTCTAAGTAGGTAATATATCTTCTTCTTCATACACACAGACAACTAATCCTCATAGCTAGGAGGCTACCATCAACCACAGAACCATAGAACTTCCTGTTACCTAGTGTTGGAGGGTAAGAGGTGACAGGTGGGTGGAGTCCTGTTCCTGATCCCTGGCCTGGATTCCCAGTGTTTCCTTGGGACACGTTGCTATGAGGATCATTGGCAGTTGTTGCATTGTTACTTGTGCAGGAAGTTCCACCTCCAGCATCAGAATCTTCAATATTGCCACCACTGTTACATCCAGCTCCACAACCTTTCCTTAACCTAGGAACAAATACCAGCATAGAAAACACTATCCCAAGATCACTTCAAGATAGGCATTTTATTCTTCCAGATAATTGCAGAACTATTAATGCTAGTAAATTGTTTACCTTCGAAAGTTTTTAGAATGCAATCAGTATTAGGAAAAAGGTGTAATCTATTTCCATAAAACTATCTTCTTCTGATTTTTCACTGCCTTAATTTTTCCCAATTGCCCCCACTTTTATACACTCTATCATCTTTCCTACACCATGAGAACTGTACATAATACAGTTGTAATGTAAAGATCACAAGAGAAAAGACAATTCTTGCAAGCATCTGTTTCATGATTCAAAAATAAGCAACCCATGAATACCTTTTATTTGTTTGTGTATGTGTGTACAGAAGAATTTGGGTGTAGGCCAAAGTGCAGAGGGTAAGAGGATTCACCAGAGACACAGTAAGGAGCAGAACAGGTGAATTTACTAGAAAACACTGCTAAGGGGAGCATCAGACAAGACAGGAGAGATCTGCTGGCAATATGTGTGGGTCAGCTCCCTGACCCAGGATAAAACTCAGCCTCAGCAGTGAAAGCATGGAGACTTAAACTGTAGGCCACCAGGGAGGCCTCCAGAAGCTTATTTGTTTGAATTAAACCTAATTTATGCTGTCTCACACTGGAAGGGAGTGCTGTAACTGCTTTTCCTGTTCTTTTTTAAATGTGGGTGAATAACTGTCCCAGCATGCCCACAGCTGTCTCTATTTGCATTGCAAGTACTGCAGCCCAGAAAACGCCTCAAACAGTCGGACACACTAATACTACACTATGGTTTATCTTCCTCCTTCTGTTTGTGTATTTATGCATACACTTGAAGACACTACAGAGATTTGAACAATAAATGTATTGTTAAAATGTCAGTCATTATCTGTTATCTTACAACTAAAACCATCAACTGTATAAAGTGTTCCCCCAACTGCTGGGAGAGAATAAAGTAGAAGAAAGTAATCAACCTGCACACCTTTCCTGAATTTTTCTCTAACTTGCTCTGCTTGCTGGACCATGCATTCATGGACTATGCTGTCAACAGAGTAGAAATTAACCCCAAAAATGGAGTCTCAAGATTCTCCTAAATGCTAGAGTAAGGATTGTTAACCTGAGTTGTACATTACATTTCTCTAACAAGATTTTGGAGGTATAAATGTTCAAACTCTGCTTCCTATTGTGCCACGGCATCTGTATTTTTCTACAACCTTTTCAGAAATGCTACTGCACATTGCCTAGATTAAGAAGGTCAGCTAATACCACCACTGAAAAATGCAATTTTCCTAAGCTTACCGGTGCCAGGTTGACACTATGAAGTTTCTTATATTTCCCAAACTGATAGGTCCCCCAAGGATTTCTTTAAGCTGCTCATGGCTGTCAGAGTATGAAGTTGTCAGAGGTGAGACAAAGATTGGGTAGCCAATGGGTTGATCACAAGATGAGTTTATCATGTTTCTCAGAGCTTGCTTTGCATTTTGGATGCTACCTCTCTCTGGGTTACGGTTACGTAGAAAAACAAGTTCCTGCTGCTGTCCTGCCCACAGGCCTCGAACACATTCTTTATTGACCTGAAAATGAGAATACATGGGGACTAGATGAAAGTGTCAAAAAGGAAGTTCACATAAACAAGAGTAGAAGTGGAATAGATACATTATGATAACCAACTGTGAAAAGCAGGAAACAAATATAAACAGGTCACATTTGAATAGGAGTTAACCGATTTCCTATTGTCATGGGCAGTTGTTACATCATAGGCATGCACAGAGCTCTCCTCTCTGCTCTGTCTTATAAAAATATCAAGTACAATACAGTGCATTTCATTTTCCCAACTGCCCCTTACAGTATATATAAAAGATCAAAGAATGACATATAGACACAACTGCCAAAACAGAAGTCAAACTTCTATGATTTTATGGCCTATAAGGACATTTTAGAAGACAGAATAAATTACTAACAAAATAAATTAAGTGCTTACAAACAAAAACTAATGCAGTATGGTTGCTTTTTTTTTTTTTTTTAAAGTTTGTCATGTTTTCCATAAATTTGGGTAAGATGATCTAAGTTCTATTTTCCAGCTGCAAACAAATGTGTCGAAGACCTACCTTGATGACCCTGAAGCTAAGGTAACGCCTGTTGAGCATGATGATCTTGTATTCATTGGTGCCATCATCCATGACATGCCGCAAAGCAAGCAAGGAGGGTGAGTTGGCAAGGACCGCACTGCGCCACGCAGGGTCCCCTTCATGGGCTATGACGAGATTTTTTTCATGAGACACAATGGCTTCATAGAGTACGGTAGGGTCATCATATTCATCTGGAGAAGTAAAGTGATCCTAAACACATAAATAAATAATGTTAATGTTTTTTATATATAAAGTCCTTCACATCATCTCCTTGATTCTTGAAAACAACTTGTAAGTTCTCCAAGTCTCTATATTTTTCTTTCTGCAGGTGAATTTATTTTATTGAGATATAGCTGACAAGCAACATTAGTTTTAGGTGCACAACATGATTCCTTATTTGCATTTATTTTGAAATGATCATCACAATAAGGCTGGTTAACATCCTTCAACACAGTTACAAATTTTATGATGAGAAGTTTTAAGGTCTACATTCTTAGCAACTTTTTCTTTTCCTTTTATTCATGTGTGTGTAGAACTGGGTAATAGGCTATAAGGTGTGGTAGGGGATGGGGGAGAAGACTCACCAGAGACAGAATGGGGAGCAGAACAGGAGGGTTTACTGAAATACACTGCTGAGAGGAGCAGTGGGCGAGACAGGAGGGTCTGCTGCGCCATGTGGGTCAGCTCCCTGGCCAGGGATCAAACTCAGGCCATCTTGGTGATAGTGCTGAGACGTAATGCCTAGGGAGGGAGTCCCCACTTTGAGCAACTTTCAAATAAACAATCTAGTATTAATAACCATGGTCTTCATCTTGCATTTATTTTGTACCTAGATCTCTGCACATTTTGACTACCTTCATTTTTCTCTTACTTTGTAAATTCCATTTGTTCTCTTCATCAGACATATTTTAATGAACACAATGCCTGTAAAACTGATGTTTTTTAGAAAAAGAGAATGACTTCCAAGAAAATAAAAATATCTAATTACCAAATGAAAATAATTAAAAACTGGTTTAAATGGGTATCTGATATTAGCAAATGTTAATATTATTAAAGGTAAATTATAGTCTGTAAATCACTACCAGGTTAGAAATTAGCTCCTTGCTACACTACTTCTGTGAACTCTTTAATCTAACCCTATCCTCTGAGTTTTACTGTTTCTCTCAAATTAGTTTTTACCTCTTTGTTATTGTTTTTGGTTAGAGAATTATCTTATTGTTACCAGTTAAGAAAAGATAGAACTACATAAAGTTCTCTAAATTACTTTCTTTTTAAAAAGTAATTTTCACATTTAGTCAATCTCTAGAATAATTCCAATATACCATTTTATCCTCTCTTATCTAGTTAACTATGACTCAAAAGCTATGAGGCTTAGGCAGATGAGGCATCCCAGCCTGAGAGAAGCTAGAGTACCTTCCCTGAGAAACCTTTTAGTTTTAACAACTACTGATGCATTTGGTGAAGTTACTTACTATCTACTGTGTGCCAATTCTGTGGCAGGTGTCACGGAGGGAACAAGAGTTTTTGAACTGTATCTCCCCTTTAGAAACCATGGAAGAGATACCCAACCCAAATAACCTTAATACAAAACTGAATTCTGAAATCAGATGTTATTAAGGAAACATATAGTCTTCAAATTTATAGTTAAGAGACTGATAAACTGGATGCCCATCTCCAGGAATTCATTTGTTTTTAAGTCAAATGACCTAAGTGTGTGTTTGAAAACGAGAATGATAGAGTAAGAGGGCACCATCCCCAAGGATACTAATGTGGGCTGGTCTAAATGAGAAAACAAAAAGAATTCGCTATGGATAACACTTCACTGCTTACAATGTTCTCAAAAATACTACTTCACCTCGCTCCTATAGCCACCTGTCAAGGAAGTTGAGTTCTACTGGCAAACTACAAATACCAAAACGAAACCTCAAAGAGGGTTAGTTGCTTCTCACATTTAGAAAGACAGTTGATAGCACTGCCAAGACCTCAACACAATTTTTCGTAGTTTTTTATTTTTTAAGATTTGTATGATTACAAAACTTAATTGGGGAAAAAAACAAAACAACTAGTTGATGTGACTAGGAACCACAGCAGATGGAGATGGGCCCTGTGCAGAAAAGCTAAAGGGCTCTGGGGAAAAGCACAGACGTCAGTAAAGCCATAAAGATAACTCTAGCATCTAGACCCGGTGGGAACCGGGTGCCTAACATGCTTGCAGACATTGGACGAGGCAAGGGGGAGACAGCAGTGAGCAAAGTGAACATGAGCACTGTTCACGTGGTACTTAAAGTCTAACTGGAACACAGTGAGAAAATGAGTTAATTAGCCAGACTCTGATGCCTCATCCAGGTTTCTTTTACCAGGCTGGTACACTCTTCCCTCCATTGCTTTGAGTGTTAGTCTTAACACTGCTTCCTTTTCTAAGAATTGCCTTCAACTGATGGAGCTGCTTAGGGGAGGAAATGCCAGGGGAGGTCTATTTTTTTGATTGGTGGTGGGGGGAAGGTACAGAACATACTCTTGACGCTACCCACAGTCCAGAGGTACCTCTTGAATGGTGGAGGCCAGAATTCAGCAGAAACATATTGCTGTTTCTCTTCTCTGTTCTTTTCGACTTCCATGACTTCCTTACATATTTTCCTGAGGGCCACCCATCAGTCTCTTCCACAAAAATCCTAGCATCTGAAATTGCTTCTAGAGAATGTGGCCTAAGAAGCACTGACAACTTACAATAATAACTCTTAATTTTTCTCTTAAATATCAAATTCAATTTCTTATACCAGCCAGATGTCATAGGATGTGCTGTCTTTCAGCAAACAGTCCACTAGGGAAGGACCTCTTTTTATAGCTTTATTAGCGCAATTATTTGAGTGGAAAATAAAACTGCAGATAATAATCACATTCTAACTAAAATGGACACAAAGTTGGAACTCATTAGTAATGCCAAAAATGGAGGATGTTTAATTTTGTTCATATATTTCCTTTCACTGCACCTGAAAAAGACTGAATGAGTGTGTAAAGTTCTATGTACATCATTGCAACAATATTTTAATGATAAAATTTTTAAACAAGTAGGGATAAGGGAATGATTGAATAAACTGCAATAAACATTATAGTCTGGAGTACTAGAGAGCCATTAAAAATGTGAGATACCCCTATACTATAGTCCTATGAATCAAATTATATAACATGGTTTTTTTTAGATTTTATTTTTATCTATTTATGCCAAAAGAACTGGGGTACAGGTCAGAGGTACACCACAGAAAAAGTGAGGAGCAGAAAAGGTGGATCCACTGAAATACACTTCTGAGGGGAGCGGGAGGGGCACAACAAGAGAGGTCTGCTGCGCCATGTCAATCACCTCCCTGGCAGGGGATCACTGCAGTGGCTATGGATAGCCTGATAGCACTGAGACTTTAACCCCTGAACCACTGGGGAAGCCCTAGCATGATTTTTTTAAAGCAAGGTATTTATACACACAGATAGAAACATATGTATGAACTTGGAGAATTCAGAAAATATATGCAGCAAGTTTCTGGCAGTGATTGATTTTTAATGATGTAGTACAATGGTATTTAGTCAGGGAAAGATATTTTACTCTTGGGTGATGTTTACTTTTCAATGATTTTTTTTCCCCCATGATTTTTCAAAGAAATAAAAAGATACTTCCAGTTCTTGTGGGAAAGTTTTCAGAAGCGGTCTATAAAATATACTTGAAAAGTTATGACAGATAGCTATACAGGATATATTATTTTTAATTTTTTTTAAGATTTATTTATTTATTCATACAGAACTGGGGTACAGGCCAGAGATGCAGAGGGTGAGAGGATTCACCAGA